CACTGGCAAGAATTAAAAAGAAATGCAATTTATAAACTTTAGTGACGATGTGACACTGCCTCGACTGTGCAAGTGACAATTCCTGTGGCAACTGTGCAGCCTGCAGCTCGCTTATAGACAGATGCGATGTAGTGATTTGAAGCCATTTGTGTATTTTGAGTGAGAGAAAGAGAGCGCGCGCGCGCGGTGATTCACTCACGCTGTTTGTGAAATTACGTCTCACAAGGTTTTCAAATCACTTTAAGTTATTTAATGAAGAAATATGAAGGTGAGTACCTCACCTTCAGCATTATAATTATTTCATCGCGCCGGACAGAGACTGAGACGTGCCGCTGCATGTCATGCCAAACCTCTCACAGCAGCGTCATCAGCTTGAGATCGGCCTTTTTTAGGCCTAATGCAATTTATAAACTTTAGTGACGATGTGACACTGCCTCGACTGTGCAAGTGACAATTCCTGTGGCAACTGTGCAGCCTGCAGCTCGCTTATAGACAGATGCGATGTAGTGATTTGAAGCCATTTGTGTATTTTGAGTGAGAGAAAGAGAGCGCGCGCGCGCGGTGATTCACTCACGCTGTTTGTGAAATTACGTCTCACAAGGTTTTCAAATCACTTTAAGTTATTTAATGAAGAAATATGAAGGTGAGTACCTCACCTTCAGCATTATAATTATTTCATCGCGCCGGACAGAGACTGAGACGTGCCGCTGCATGTCATGCCAAACCTCTCACAGCAGCGTCATCAGCTTGAGATCGGTTTGAGATCTGCTTTTTTAGAGACCACTGATCAATCATCCCAACGTGATTATCGGCCGATAGTGATCGGTAGCCGATCAATCGGAGCACCCCTAAATAGTAATATATTTCTGTCAATTTCTGAAAGTTAATCTATTGTGCAACATTCCTGTGCAATATTTGTCCACTCACTGGAGCCTTTAGAATGCCAACAATGCAACATGTACATCTTTTCTGTTATGTGCCAACTGTGCAATAATGTGTGCAATATGATATTTAATAAGGCTTAAATTTGCACTTAAATCGCCTTGTTTGTATTGGTTTGTGTATTGTTTGTCTTGTATTGTATAGTAATAACATACTCTTTTTTTTTTTCTGTATTACAGATGTTTAAATAACATGTGACTGCACTGTTAGGATTGCTCAAATTTCACTATACTTGTATAGTGACAATAAAGAATCTTGAATCTTAAAGTTTTGTTTTGACAGTTTGGAATTTTACCAAATTCTGTGACATTTCATGCTATACATGAAGTTTTGTGTTTTCCACATCACAGAAATCATAGGCCTTTTTTATGTGTCTCTACAATTGTGTTTTGCCACGTAAAATCTGTGTAATTATTAACTGGCAGTTTCATTCATAGTTCATTTCTCAACCTAGTGAAGAGTGAGGTAATAGTTAGCCAAGCACAAATGCGGTCATTGGAATAGAACTAAACTTGAATTAAATTCTTGAGCACATGCTCTGATGCATTGAGCCTTGGTGCTTATGTAGACCATGCAAGTTCAAATCCTGCTTAAATAAAATGAATAAATTATTAATCATAATTGCTATTACAATTGTTAAGGATGATGTGTTTATAAAAGTATTGTACATAGTGGTTAAACAGATCGTAGTTGATCCGTGATCCGTACGGACCAAGCCCCACGGTTCGGCACGCATGTGATCCGCGGATTAATTGCAAAATTTAACCATAATGGAGTATAAGTTTATAATTTGTTCTATCATTTGTTCGTATTTACACAAGCAAGCGAATTTTAAACAATTCCAGAGAGAAAAGGTTCAATCTGGAGCTCGTTTCGTTACTCGCGCGCTGTTCTCTAGTACGCACACAGCCGCACACACATGAAGCTCGCACACGCGTTTCAGACGGCGCGCAAACACCGAACTGAATCCTCTTCTGAATCCTCTGAACAGACACACACACATAAAATTATGACAAAATACCCATCTCGACAATCATTCAGTTAAACGCAGTCAGTTATGTCTCAAGTGAATGAAAACAGCTGAGAAAGAAATCGGATGTGATGTGTATCATCATTATATCGGATCCGTGCATCAGGCCTTAAAGGTACAGCGGCCTATAAATACTGCTGCTGTCATTAATGATCATCAAACAACAAAACAGCTGTGATAAAAATGTATATTCAATTTATACAGTGAACACTATGCAGTGTTATTTTCCCTAATTACTACATTTCTGTATTTGAATACTACCTACCTTATTTTATTTGTAACATATTCTGTTGTATTTATCTATGCTTGTAATTTGTGTATTTGTTCTTATTTTTACTGGCTGTTCTCTTGTCTCTTTAATCATGTTTAAACTTTCTTAGTTAATCTAGTAGTATTTGCTGTGGTATCAAAGAAGTACTTAACTTTAAGTAATAAATGGAAAGCAAGTTAAATTGAAATGTTTTTCTTTTCTTGCTGATCCGAAAAAATGATCCGATCCGTGGGTCAAAAACCGTAATGTGATCCGAACCGTGAGATTTGTGATCCGTTGAACCACTAATTGTACAAAGCCCTGAGTTGTTAGTCTGTCAGCACACTAAAACCTTATCAATGAAATCAACATTATAGAATTACTGTGGTATATCATGGTTCAGCGTCTGCAATCCTGACACGTCTTTAAAAATGATCCAATTAATTAATTGTGTGGACCCTAAACCAATCAAATTCATTAGAGAACCCCCCAAATAGTCTGGAAATCTGTGGTTTTGCACATCACTAATACGAACATAAGTTCCTCACCTCTGTTGACCTGACTGAAGTCATAACAGGTATGAAATCCTTACCAATGAGACACTATTTCTCAACTAAACTTGTACAGCATTAGACTGTGTTAGTCTGTAAAACCGTGAGAATTAAACTATTTCCACGAGAGCTCTGAAGTAATTGGCTTTAGTCAGAATAACTTTCACCATGCTGGAGGATTTACTGTAAATGGAGTAAACAACAGAAAAAGACATAATCTTGCATCTCAGCCGTGCACATTTCTTATTTGCTATGGTGGAGCGTGTATGTGAGAGCAGTGTCATCATGAGCTCTTACCACCTTGAGAGAGTGTTAAGAGAGTTTTTATATCACATGGTATATTTGGTACATGTAGCTCATTTCCATGTTTGGGAATCTTACGTTTGTCTCTGTGTGTTACAGGCACTCTTGTCATCATGTTTATTGTTCAGAAGAGATCTCCTCTGGCCCAGGACTCCCTGCACAGGATGACAGCCGTTACACAGCGCAGGAATCAGGGGCCGACGACAAGGTAACGAAAAACAATGACTCCACGCAGTTACCAACTAAATGCCTCAATGACTTGCTGGCAGTTGAACTCTTCTCCTATTAGGTCTTTGAGCGCGTGTGCTTTACACCAGTGAGATTTAACTCTGTATTGTGAAATGAGAATCATATACATTTGACCTTTAGAGAAGAGAGATTCTTTAGCTGTTGTGTAGGTTTGAGTAGCCCCTGAAGTTGTGCAATAGTTCCTCATTCAAAGTGCAGGCTGTTGTTGACACTGTCTTTCAGAAGGCTAATCTATAAAGGGACTTGAAGACAGGGGCCCCAACAAAGACCCTCCTCCTCTTGTGTAACCTATAGATTTAAGGCTGTATAGGGGTGTGGATTCTTCTGGTTGTCCAATATTTCTTAGTGGCTGACTGATTAATCCCAGTTTAGCTTTTGTTAGCATGCTATCTTTAAAGTTCGAGAAGCATTTGAATGTTCAGCTAAAGCGTGAATCTGTAAACTTACCGTTTTTGCACTTCAGCACATTTTTTCCCCCTCGGCAGTCACAAAAGTGTTTTCTCTTTGCTCCTGCCAAACTTGAACGATAGCTGTTTGCCCTTGAAAAACATATCTTCCACCCTCATAGAAACAAAGCCAGTTCTGTAAACTTATCTGTTGTTAAAAGAATCTCTCATCAATCATGTCATTCCAAACCCCTCTGAGGAGCACAAACGGATTTTCTGCACAATGATCACATTGCTCTCAATGAAACCGCAAAAGTACATGTGACCAGACAGAAGCAGTCACTCCAAAAAGAACAAAACAAATGCCATAAAATTGTTTGTGGAAGAAACTGACCTTGTAACCCTTTCTTGCTCTTTATTTAGATGTTTTACTCATAAGTAACATTGTTTTTCTCTTTCAGGTTGAAGAGGAAAGGGCGACACACACTCAGTCATCGTACGACGTGGGTCTGGAGACAGAGAGAGCTGCACTAAAGGAAACATCATTGCACTCACAAGACGCCCTGCACGAAGAGAAGCACAAACAGGTGCCAGTGCAATCTAACCATCATATCTGTTTTCTTTTATTACATATCTCAACCTTGTATGTGACCCACACATTTGACAGCTTATATTTATTTTAGTTGACTGACTTTTCTTTGACTAAACTCTTTGCATAAAAGCAATAAACCTTTGGTTCATTATGAACAACATCATAGAGTAATCAGTGCCCGCCTGATTTTTGGTTCCAGAAGTATTTTGAGAGATTTAGAAAAATGCAAAATATGCATGTTTTAACAAATATTAAAGTAGATTGGGAACTTGGGGAGACTGACTCATTCGCAGTGCTTCATGACAGTAGGTGGGCACTGAAAAGCTCTTTTGGTGCTATTTGCTTGACACAATTCTCTGATTGGAGGAGATTTTTTTGCATAATCATGGGTAATGTAATTCATTAAACATGATTATTTAAAGTGAAAGTTCATCCAAAAATGAAAATTCTGTCATTAATTACCTTCGTTTATCTTCGGAACAAAATTATATATAAAAAAAATAAATATGTTTTTGATGAAATACGAGAGCTTTCTGACCCTGCATAGACAGCAACGTAACTAAAACGTTCAAGGCCCAAAAACATAGTAAGGACATCGTTAAAATAGTCCATGTGACATCACTGATTCAACCGTAATTTTATGAAGCTACGAGAATACTTTTTGTGCACATAAAAAACAAAAATAAAGACTTTATTCAACTATTTCTTCTCTTCTGTGTCAGTCTTCGACGCACATTTACTATGTTAACAATGTCATTACTACGTTTCTGGGCCTTGAACATGGTAGTTGCGTTGCTGTCTATGCAGGAACAGAAAGCTCTCGGATTTCATCAAAAATGTCTTGATTTCTCTTATTTTTGTTCCGAAGATGAATGAAGGTCTTACGGGTTTGGAACGACATGAGGGTGAGTAATTAATGACAGAATTTTCATTTTTGGGTGAACTATCTCTTTAAAAAAATAAGTTGAAATAATGCAGGCTGATGGCTTCAACAAAAGCATATACTATCGATTAACAACCTTGTAGCTCACAGTGGGTCTGTCTTTAACTGTTTTTCAGTTAAAAATCAACTCCCTTATGGAGAAAATGAATAAGATTTACTGCCAGAGTCAGACTCTATTGCTGTGATCTTCCAGCTCATGTCTGCAACCAAATCATAGTCGAGATTTTTTTTTAATAGCAAACCCTTCTTCTGTTGCTTAATTGTTAATCTCTTTATCTCTGTTTCTGTCATTGTAGACTGTGAATTTGGAAGAAGTGTTGGAGGAGCCGCAGATTCAGCTTGTGTCTGCTCTCCCTGAGCTAGAACAACAACAACAACAGCAGCAGCAGCAGGAGCAGCAACCAGAACCCCAGAGCACCCAACAATCAGACCAACAACAGTCAGCTCAGCCACCAACACTTACACAGCCCCAAACAGCAACACCACTCTCCCAGCCCCAGCCAGACCCTGAAACTCCACAGGCCACTGCCACAGAAGACCAGGCTGCCCACGCCTCCGCTACTTTAACCCCTCCACAGACTGACCCACACGGAGAAGACCCATCCGCACCTCCTGCTGAACTCCAGAAGAGCCCAGAGTCAGCCTCACCTACCTCAGTCACCTCCGAGGAGAGCTCCTCCAGGTGAGTACAAGCACAGCCGTTTGGGAGAGAAGAGGGTGGGAACTTTAAATGTTTGTCATTTCATTCATTTTATTTTCTTATCGAGTCATTTCTGTGATCCATTTCTGCATCCAAACTTTTAAACTGAATCAGTAAAGCATACAATCATCACTTCATGGACTTCATATGGCACCTACTTTGGACGTTTTTTCAACTGCATCACAGTGGATCTCACCTTCTTTAGTAGTCCGCTATGACTTGTTTTCACCGGACTTGGAGCGTTTACGAATCTTCCATTTCAACAAGGACCGAAAAAAACAATATCACTTTGCGATTTAAAATGTAATAAACCAGTACTTCAAGAACCTCTATGGAGCCCTGGACAAATGTTCAGTCCATACATGGAGCCAGATTACTTTCTCTCTCTTATCCTTTCTATCCCCCTCCCTCTCTCCATTAGTATTCCTCTCCCATTCCTCTCTATTTTCCTTTCTCTTGGTGTAAACCCCATTTGATTTCTTTCCTTCAGTGGACTAGATGTTCTGCGTCCTGATGGCCCTGTAGAGAACTCTAGTGCCAGTCAGTGTGAGGTGGGCCCTGTGCCCCCCTTCAGCCAGTCCCTTGGCACCACACTCACCAGGTGAGTACTGAGCAACAGGTAAACCACAGGTTACATGGCAACATTACGGTAACTCCAGTACTCGCGTTGCATCAGGTGACTTGGTAACCAATGGTTAACCAAGTAACGGAGCTGCTTCAGGCATATCAAGCCAGGTCTTCTCTTGCTCTTTTTTTTTTTCATTTCATCATTTCATTTTTGGCAGTTTGGTTTACCACTTAATTTTTTCCCAATGCCATGATGCACCATTTTTAGTGCTTGTTTTGCTTGTCACTTGCATTACTTTTTGTTTTTTATGTGTAGCAATACACTAAGGTCACTTTCTTTCCCCACCTTCTCTCTGCTGTGTTTTCTTGCTCTTAATAGTTTTGTGGAGGAACATGTGGAGGAACATGTGGAGAAGCAAGCAGAGAACCAGTCTGCCACATTGGGAGTACAGAGTACAGAGACCAGTGCTGACCCGACTGCCACTCTGCTCCCGAGTGAGCTGGACCTCACAGAGCTGGGGCAGACAACCAGTATCCCTCCACCTACAAAAAGCCAGCAGGTACACACATGCTATTTGTCAGACTAATCTAACATGGCTAAATAATTCTAACAGTGAGAGAGAAAGCAAATACCCACAAGAGGCTTTGCATTACTTAAACCTTTAATACATGTGACTAATGGCATAATGCTTTTAGAAAAGGAGGCAAATGTTCAATAAACTGTTAACTGTATTAATAATAATCAAAATAAGTCAAATAGAATTTTCTGTTTCAGGTGTATATAGAACACTATATGTGCTGAAAAATACAATGAAGTGATCAAATATAAATAATTAAATAGTTTAAAATGTAAATAATTAAATCACTTGACAAATACATAGATGAATATATAATATAAAGTCTTAACATATTAGACATTAAAGGGGTCATATGATGCTTTTTTAAAGATCATTATTTTGTGTATTTGGTGTAACAGAATATGTTGACATGCTTTAATGTTCAAAAAACACATTATTTTTCAAATACTGTACATTATTGTAGGTCCTCTATGCCCCGCCTCTCTCAAACGCTTCGTTTTCTACAAAGCCCCCTCCTTTGAC